ATGATGCACTTTAATAATGGCATATCCGACATATAATATTTAATACATAATTAAAACATTGATGGGCTAAGTGAGCATAACGAAAAAAAGGGAGTTTAATCGTTTGGTACGTTTTAAGCGTATTATAGACGATGATGCGTCGACAATGAGGCAAGCATTAACCACCCCCGTTCCATGAAATTGCAGGATAATAACTTACGTTGCCCAAGGTTGAATTCAACGATCGACAGGACAACCGTACAAACTGAACTGCACACCCCTTGATATACCACTATGACATGCAGAATAAATTAAATATGAATAGGCAAAACGAGTCCGACTGTATATTACATATAATGTCATTTCCAACTTCCATGTATAGCTGCTGGCATTTATTTAATATACATACATGATTGTCTTTTAATGATCTACATTTATTTCTTATTAGCAAATTTTAGGCGCGCGAAGCGCGATATTCAATTTATTCTGATTTGCAAATCATACAAAATTTTTATTCCTCTAATATCAACTTCAATTTTCGAATAATTTCTTATTCCGAATTTACGAAAATTTCTTAAATTATAACCAATTATTTCTTTGGATAAATAAAATTCTTCTCGGGAATTCAATTATTTTAAATACAATTTTAATAAAATTCATTAAGAATATTATTATTTAGGAAAATAATTGAATTCTCGCGAAGAAATATGTTAAAATTATTTATAATTCTAATTAAACTCTTTTTGAAGAATTTCATTGAATTTTTTTAAAAATAATGGAGTTTCTTTAAAAATTTTAATTAAAAATCTTAAAAATAATTGAATTTTATGAACAATTTCATTAAAATTTTTAAAATAATCGTATTTGTTAATAATTGAAATTAAACATTTAATTATTGAATTTTATTAAAATTTTTTAATATTCTTTTGAAAAATTTTATAACGAATTGAGAAAAAAATTTAATTCTTTAGAGAAATTTTCTGGAAAATAATTGAATTTTTATAAAGATTTTACTATTTAAAAAAATAATTGAATTGTTTCGAAGGATTTATTAAAATTTTAGAAAATAATTGGATTTTTTCAAAAAATATTATTGCAAATTAAAAACAAATTGAATTCTTCCATTAAATTTTATTGAAATTATATTAAAAATAATAAGAAATAAATTAAATTGTTTCGTGAAATTGTTTTGAATATAATTGAATTTTTGCAAAGAATTTTGCTATTTATAAATAAAATTGAATTGTTTCGTGAAATTTTGTTTAAAAATAATTGAATTTTTGTAAAAAATTTTACTATTTATAAAAATAACTGAATTCTCACGGAGAATATTATCATTTATGTAAATAATTGTATTCTTAAGAAGAATTTTATTAAAATTTTTGAAATTATTAATCAAGAATAATTAATTTGTAAATTATAGATAATAATTGAATTTTTTTAAAGTTAGAGTGTGAAATTATTCAAAAATTCATATTTGAAAATAAAAAGTTTTGTGACTTGCATAATAATAATATAAATTTTTATTTATATTTTATATTTTTATATTTTTATATTTTTATTTATATTTTAAAAAGTTGAAAAAAATTCGTTAATTATTTTCAAAATTTTCAATTAAAATAAATTATATTAAAAAACTACATTTTTTTCAAAAAAAACTTATAGGAATTCTTCAAAAGCATTTAATTATTTACATAAATTATAATATAATTGTTTAAAAGAGTTTAATTTTCAATCAATAATTTTAATAAAATTTTAATAGTAAAATTAATAATTAGAATTATTAAAAAAATCGATTATATTCAATAAATTAAAGAAATTTTTTTTAAAAATTCAATTATTGTCAAACTTTTCAATAATAACTATTCTTCGAAAGAATTTAATTATTTTCTATATTTTAATAAAATTTCTTGATTCAATTAAATTATTTTAGAAAATTGTAATAAAATTCTGAGGAGAATTTAATTATTTTCAAAAAATTCTAATAAAATTCCTTGAATGAATTAAATTATTTTAGAAAATTGTAATAAAATTCCTTGAAAGAATCAAATTATTTTAGAAAGTTGTAATAAAATTCTGAGAAGAATTTAATTTATTTTCTAAAAGTTTTTAATAAAATTCAACAATTAAATGTTTAATTTTAATTATTAAAAAAAACTTGAAAGAAATTGTTCATAAAATTTAATGGTACTTTAAAAAATTTCAATTAAAATTATTAAAGAAACTACATTATTTAAATAAAATTTCAAACAAATTCTTCACATGAATTTAATTAGGATTTTCAAAAATTTTAATAAAATTCTTCGCAAAAATTCAATTATTTTCATAAATAATAAAATTCAAAAGCATTTAACACAGAAGTATTTAATTATAAAATTTTGAAATAAAATAATCCAGACAAAATTTTTTACAAATATAAGTCAGCTTAATGAAAATAATTTTATTTAAACGAAAACAAATTTTTTTCTCTAAGCTACTAATATTATACTTGCGTGAAAAATTTTATTTTCATTCTTTTATTCAAAATTTTTATATTTCAAGACAACTCTCTGAGTTAAATTGTCAGTCGAAAATTATTTTCTCTCTAAAACAAAATATTCTATTTATTTAAAATATTCATTTCGAACCAAATAATTAAAAAAAATATGTATATTGAATTGTCTGTCTGCAATTTGAACTCAATTAAACGGGAAAGTTCACCATGAAAATGCTCCCGACTGTCCTCCCATTTCCATTTCATCTCTTTAATGATTGGCTGCAATTTGGCAGCTAAAAATACAATCAGCTCTCGTGAAAAACACGTTAAAAAACAAAGCACTCGTTGTTGACGATTCTGTGCACTGCATTTTGTTGAAATTGAAACCTCGAAACATTTACCAAAAGGGAATGAGAAGGAAAAAGGGGAAGAGAGCTTGAAACAAAAGGTTTTCGAAAAAGTTTTATGCGAAAATTTCAAAATTTTGTTTGTTATTTCTGTGGTGAATTTATGGATTTTTCTTTTTCATATAAAAATAAATACGGGAATATTTTTTAACCAGAGACTAGGATATGTATAGAGAGAGAGGATGAAAGAGAGAAAAAGAGAAAGAGAGAGAGAGACAGAGGGGAAAGAGTTGAAACCGGAGGGATGAAAGATGAACGAATTCGTGAGCATTAAACATGGTGGCTCGCGCACTGGTTGCGCATAGCTGGGCGGGCCGCACCATCGACCAGCTAAACTACTATAACTATAACTATATATACTCGCGAAAAGACCACAGCCACCCCTCGTCGTCATATTCAGTTTCATCTCCCCTGCTTCTATTTCTCTGCGTGCCCATATATATACATAAACCCTCGAATTTCTCTAGAAACGCTATAGTCTATTACAAAAGAAAAAAAATTCATTATAATCCGAAAACAATTTTCCATTGGTAGAATTTTCATTCGATCATTCAATTCAGTTTTTTATTCAATTTCACAAACGTTGAATTTTTATTTAATCAAACTTTCAAACAGAATTTATATTCTACTAAACTCACCTTCCAACTTCAAGGAAAACGAAATTTTCATTTTTTATAAAATTCTATTTTTAATGGAATTATTAATTTCAAAAGAAAATTCTATTTAGTTTGTATAATTAGCAAAATTAGAAAAAAACAAATTTCGTTACGAAAAAAAAATTAAGCTTGTGAATAAAATATTGGACTTTGAAAATTCTACCGAATCGAATATATCTTAAATTTTTATTCAATCTTTGTAAATTCCAAAAGCCGGTAATAAAAATTGCCAAATTAAAAATCATCTAATTTATGAAAATAATTAAATTGATTCGAAGAATATTATTAAATTTCGAAAATAATTAAATTCTTCTGAAGATTTTTATTATAATTTTTTAAAATAATTTAATTTTTATGAACAATTTTAACAAAAATTTAATTCAATTAAAATTTAATTCAAAACAATTGAATTCTCATAAATAGTTTTACCCAAATTTTTGAAAATAATTAAATTCTGTTGAGGAATTTAATTAAAACTATAAATTCTTGTAAAAAATTTTATCAATAGTTTTGAAAAAAATTGAATTATTTGGGAATTTTTATTAAAATTGTATTGAATATAATTGAATTCTTGTGACAAATTTTATTAGTCACAAAAATAATTCAATTCTTGTACAGAATTTTATTATTTATGGAAATTTGTAATTGAATTCTTGTGAAGATTTTTTTTATTTACGAAAATAATTTAATTCTTAAGAAGATTTTTATTACAATTTTTGAAAATAATTAAATTCTGTCGAGGAATTTTATTAAAATTTTAAAAAAAGTTAATATAAAAAAACCATTGAATTCTTATAAAGAATTTTACCTAAAATTTTTAAAATCATTGAATTTTTTCTTAATATTTTATTAAATTTTATTAAAATAATCGAATTCTTTAGAGAAATTGTATTGAATTTCAGTGGAATAATTTATTAATCATAAAAATAATTGAATTCTTGCACATAATTTTATTATTAATGATAATTATTGAATTCTTGTTAAAATTTTTGAAAATAATTAAATTCCGTTGAGGAATTTAATAAAAATTAAACTATTGTAAACAATTTTATCAATATTTTTTAAACAAATTGAATTCTTGTAAATAATTTTTTTTACTTAAAAAAATAATTGAATTTTTGCAACGAATTTAATTATTTACAAAAATAAATGAATTGTTTAGAATTTATTAAAATTTTTGGAAATAATTAAATTCTTTTTATGGATTTAATTATAATTGTATTGAAAACTATTGAATTCTTATAAAAAATTTTACTATTTTTGAAAATAATTGTATTCCTTCAACAATTTTATTATTTGGAAAAATAATTGATATCTTGAGAATTCTGATGTAATAGATCTGCTTTTCCAACGTTCGATTTTTTTCTATATACTAAAATTGAATATTATTTGTTATTTCTAAAATATTTCTATCATATTTTCTAACAACTTACTAAAATTGAATATTCTTTAGTAAAATTAAATATCAGTATGAAATATCACCTATTTCAGCGTGAATTCCTCTTGATAAATTCCAAAATTACATCGGCGAGTTTTTTAAGGCTTGCGGAAAAATATTCACTGCCGATTTCCAATGCGCTCACTGTACATATATTCCAATGTATATATTTAAGTGTCTTTTCCACTCAATTCGTCGTTCTTTTCTTTTGAAACGCCGTCTCAATATCAACCTAAAAGACAAAAAATACATTAGAATAAGGAAATAAAAAGAATCAATTATTTTTAATGCAATTTTAACAACATTTCTAGAAAAAATTCAATTATTTTCAAAAATATTACAATTTTTGGAAAGAATTTTATGATTTTCAAAAATTTTCATAAAATTCAGAATAACAACTATTTTTAATGCAATTTTAACAAAATTTATCAAAAAAATTCAACTATTTTGATAAATAATAAAATTTTGCGCACAAATTCAATTTTTTAGAAAAATTTAAACAAAGTTTAGAATTCAATTATTTTCAAAAATAATAAAATTCTTCGCAGATTTTAATAAAGTTTAGAATAAGAAATTTTCAAAAATAATAAAATTCTTCGAACATATTCACGTATTTTCCTAAATAATATAATTCTATAGAAGAATTCAATTATTTTCAATGAAATTTTAACAAAATTTCTCAAAAAATTCAATTATTTTCATAATTATTAAAATTCTCTGAAGAAATTCAATTATTTTGAAAAATATTAATGAAATTCCGAATAAAAATTCAATAATTTTCAAAAATATTAATATTTTTTGGAAAAATTCAATTATTTTCAAAAATTTTTAAATTTTCCATAAGAATAGGTATTCAATTATTTTCAAAAGTATATAAAAATTCTTCGGAAGAATTAAATGATTATCAAAATTTTTGATAAAATTTTTCATGAGATTTCAATTATATTTTCCATACCATTTGAATTATCTTCGTCGAAAAAATTGATTAATTTTCAAAAATTTTAATAAATTTCTTCAAGACAAATTCTATTATTTTCAAAATTTTAAATATTTTTTGCAAAAATTCAATTATTTCCACAAGTATTAAAATTCTTTGCTGAAATTTAATTATTTTCAAAAACTTTAGTATAATTATTATAAAGAATTCAAACGTTTATAAAATTATTGGTAAAATTCTCTATTAGGAATTATCGCTCAAGTGATTGGCTTTTTATAACAAAATTTCTATTTTTGTTTTCGACTGAAAATTTAAATTTGTCACTTTATTAATTTTGGAATCGAGAAATTTAGCAAAAAAAACTCAAAGCTTGAGTAAAGAAAATTTTTAATAATTTTCATTTATTCTTGTTATTTCTCAATCAGCAGAACCGAATGAAAAATCGGTTTGTATTTGAATGAAGAAGGGAAAAATGTTATATATAGTGTCAATTAAGTGCAATAATTGTATTTTGAATTTGGTTTCTGTTTCAGTGAAAGAGGAATTCTATTGCATGTGGCATGTCAGCCCGGAGGAAATAATATCAGACAGCTTTAGAGACCGGATTTTGAAATCGTCCCTTTCTGCGAAACGAGATTGTGTCAATGACGCTCGCTTTGGAGGCGCGAAGTGTAAATCGAAATATCGTTTTTCATTCCGTTAGTGGATGTCCCTCTCTCTCTCTCTCTCTATCGACTACAGCCCTTTTTTTCGTCCAATTGAAATGTGTCGAATTCGTCATTTCCGCAGATCGGTTTGGATCCGCAGCAACGAGGGCAAATAATACAACGAGGACGAAAGTAAACGCAACACTTTGATCGTATGTGCCGCGCGGTCGCTACCACCGCTGCTACACCGTGTCGACTGGTATTCTACTATATGGAGAGAGGTATTTTGGCCAAACATGATGTGCACGTGTATATTTATGTGTACCGATCACTATTTGAGAGTGAATGCACGTAGTTGCACAATTATGCGTTATCTATGCCCACATGACGTGACGGGTGTTTCTGGTCACCCGATGTATTGGCCTAGTCAACTACGATATGCTCTTCTCTCTCTCTCTCTGTCTCTCCGTCTCTCTATGCGCTATAGCAAGGTTCAGTTGACAAATCATTAACTATGCATCGAGCCGGCCAGCAAATACTCGTTACTAGTGCCTCGCCCGTTGTGGTGGTTCCTCCCTTTCGCCCCTTTTCCACCTGTCCATCAGCTTTTACCTCCTTTGATGCTTTCTTCATCGGATTCAGTTTCTTTATTTTATTACTTTTCTACATGCATCTACCATTTTTATTGATGAATCAAATTTCTATTTCATCGAATATCCATTTGACTACATATAAATTTCCTAAAATTATAATTTTCCTAATTTAGGTTCCTAATTTTTGAATTTCGTAATTTACAGGGCTCGAAATAGGTCCATAAATCACGCAAAAGGTCCTTAAATTTGTTTCAAAAAAAAAAAATTTGTCCGTAAAAGTCAGTTTTTTTTTTAAAAAAAGGTCCGTAAAGTCCGTAATTTGATTTAGAAAAGACGAAAAGTTCGTAAATTCTATACGATATAATTTGCAGAATTTTAGAGAAATTACAAATGATTGCAGAAAAATTATTTTCAAAAGTAATAAAATTATTTGCAGAAATTCAATTATACATTGTATGTTCAAACCTTTTTTTAAATTCTCCTCAAAATTTCAATTATTCTTAGAAGTAATTAAATTCTTCTCCAAAATTTAATTATTTTCAAAAATTCAATTATTAATTATTCAGGTTGTCTACAAGTCATGGAAAACCTGGAAATGATGGTATTGTCATGGAAATTATTTTATTTTATGATTTATACTATTTTTACGAGAAACTATAAATATAAATTAATATCATAAGAAATGTAATGAACCCGAATATTTAAGAAGATTGTCTACAATATTATTAAGTCCCACAGCAATAAATAATAATAATTTAATAACGATCGAGTTATTATATAAGTAGCAGAAGGACTTTTGTGGTTTTTTTCCCACAATTGTCCTTTAATCCTCGAAACGTTAGGAAATTAGGAAGGTTCTGCGGTCATCGCCACAAAACCCAAAGATCCTCATATGTGACCATAGTGACATTATTATACATGTATATATAAATTATAAGTAAATAATAAAACCCCAGAAAATCTACTCTATTATTCATCAAGTAATTAATCTCGATTCTAAATTGTGTACATATTTCAATGTTGAATTTGTGATAGAAATTAAATTCTCACAATTTCAATTATTAATAAAATTTACTTTAGTTGAAATTAAATTAATTTAATTACGTTACATTCAATTAGTATATAAATTAAATTTAATATTTAAATATGGAAATTTTTTTAATTAAATTGAAATATAATAAATTTTGTGTTTATTAACAAAATTTACTTTGGTTTAAATTAAATATTTTACTTAATTAAATTTAACTAATACTTAATTTAATTTTAATTAACAACTAAAGTATATTATGAATAAAATTCATAAATTTATAACCGAAAATTTTCAATTTTTAATTAACGAAATTAATTAATCACTTTTTCAAAATTATTTTCATCAATTCAATTCAATAAATTATTATTTTTTAGAATTTTTAACTAAAACTTTTCTTTAAATCAATTATTTTTAATAGTTTTCGAAAAAGTTTTTTATTAATTTTCAAATTCATTTGTTTACAATTCAATTTTACACGGATTTTCGTTTATTCGGAAATTCTTCAATTAATTATATATAAGAAAATAAAAACATGAAATAATTGTTTAAAAAATTCAGTTAAACTTTTTCAAGAAAATTAATTCTCCAGAATTATTAGTTAAGAGTATGAAAAATTCAGATTTTCAAAGATATTAACTTGAAACCTTTTTAAAATTAAATTATTTCTTAAAATTGAATCTGTAATGCTTTTAATGTTTTATGGTTATTTAAAATTTTAACTGAAATCCATTTTTAAATAAATATTTATTAGAAAATTCTACGAAAATTAAATTATTTATTTATTTATTTTACAATCAATTAAAAACAAAAATAAATAATTTATTGAATAATTGAATGTTTCTCAAAATTAAATTCTCATAAAGAATTTTATCAATAAATTTTTAAATCAATAAATTTTTTCAGCTAATTTTAATAGAATTTTTAAGAATAATTACATTTTTCGAGAAATTTAATTAAACTTGAAATTCTGCGATTAAATTTATAATTTATGAAAGTAATGAAATTATTGCGAAAAAATTTATTAAAAAATTTAGAAATAATTGAATTCCTGTGAAATTATTGTTATTTATGAAAATAATTAATTTTTTTTAAATAATTGAACTTTTTGGAAAATTATATTAAAACATTAGATATTAAAAATCATTGAGGGGAAGAAAAAATTGAGGGAAATTTTTAAAATTAATTGAAATTTTGTCAAGAATTTTATTATTTATAATGATAATTGAAATTTTGACAAGAATGTTTTTTAATTTTTCAAAATAATTGAATTTCTGCAGAGAATTTTATTATGTATGAAAATAATTGAATTTTTTCGAGAAATTTTGTTAAAATTGCATTCAAAATAATTAAATTCTTCTGAAGAATTTTTTTCAAAAATTTTGAAAATCATTGAATTCTTTCGAAGAATTTTAATATTTTTGAGAATAATTGAATTCTTAGTCTCAATGTTCTTAAAATGTTTCAAAATAATTGAATTTCTACGAGGAGTGTTATTATTTACGAAAACAATTGAATTTCTTCGAGGAAGTAATATTTCCTGACAATAATTATAAATTCATACGAAAAATTTTAATATTTTTGAAAAAATTGAATTTTTTCGAGAAATCTTATTAAAATTGCATTGAAAATAATTTAATTCTTATTCTGAATTTTATTAAAATTATTGAAAATCATAGAATTCTTTCCAAGAATTTTAATATTTTTAAAAATAATTGTTTTTTTTCTAGAAATTTTGTTAAAATTGCATTAAAAATAATTGAATTGAAAATAATCTCTGTAAAAAATTTAATTATTTATGAAAAATACTGAAATCCTTGTGAAGAAATTTATTAAAAAATTTAGAAATAATTGAATTCCTGTGAAATTATTGTTATTTATGAAAATAATTAATTTTTTTTAAATAATTGAACTTTTTGCAAAATTTTATTAAAAACAGTAGATAAAAATAATTAAATTGAGAAAAAGTTTTGAAATTTTGTCTAGAATTTTATTAAAATTTTTGAAAATAATTAAATTTTAAAGAAGAATTTTATTATTTATTATAATAATTGAAATTTTGACGAGAATTTTTAAAAAATTTTCAACATAATTGAATTTCTGCAAAGAATTTTATTACTTTTGATTTTTGAAAATAATTGAGTTTCTGCAAATATTTGTAACTTCTCCAAAATTCAATTTTTTTTAGTTTTTTAACTAAAATTTTTCTATAAATACATTATTTTTGATAATTAATTAAATACATATTAAAAAATTTAACTAATTTCAGAAAAATTTGAAATATTCTAATTCTTCAACAAAAATTTTTTTTTAAAAATTTCTAATTAAGTTTATTAAAAATTGAAGTGTTATAAAATTTCAAATTAATACCTTCTGAAGTTCATCTATTTATGAATAAAGTTTTTTAATTAGAAATTATTGTCAGGAATGGAAAAATTTGAAAGTTTTGTGGTAATTTCCTATTTTATGAGGCAAACAAAAAAAAACCAAAATTCAGAATTTTCTTATGAATTCTAAAAATTAAATTTTTTCCAGTACTTTTACTAAAAATCCCTGACTTTCCTGACCTGTGACAACCCTGAAAGTGCATTTATAGAATTATCGGATGTTTGAAACTAATTCTGTTTGAAAATAAGAGTGTGGGCATTTTTTTGTTGTAAATGTATTGATATGCTAGTTAAGATTTTGTCCACATAATATTAGGCTGATAATTTGTACTACAGTGGCAAACTTTGACAATATGACTAAACACTTCTATAAAGTCATAGCGCACACAATTCACAGAGTGCCGGTAGAATGAGGATGATGTTAGTATTTTAAGCCTATTTAAGTGTGTTTGTCGTATAATATTGACATCGTGCACACAAACACAGAGAGTACTGTATGTATATAGAAAATCTCGTGTACAAGTGTATGGGGACCGAACACGAATGCAATTTTCAAGCCCATATATACGCACACACGACGATGAGATGAGAAACGCGCGATGGAAGTATAGTAGTATAAAGCCAACGAGTGAATCAATGTGTGCTTGGTAAACGACGACGCCCGGCGTCGTGACGCTCTCGCGGTATATACATATATACATATAATATATATATATATACATATAAACGAGAAAATGCAAAAATTTTGTGAGCTTTCTCAACACTCAAGAGTTCATCTATCCCTTTTTAAATCTCACAGCATATTTTTAGCCAGTTACTTTCTTAAACAGGTATATACTTTTTTTATATCTCTCTCTTTCTCTTCTCTCACTGCATCTTAAACATAAATAAATATAATTTAGAATATATAACAGTATATAAAATAATATATTATCTATATTAATAATCCTTGTATTTCGGTAATCTGTTCGCAGTTTGAAGTCACACCGGAAAAAATTTATTTCATCCAAATAGACGACTATTTGTCTATTATCAAATAAATATTTATACTTGAATCAAATAATTTTTATTTAAATCAATTAAATGGTTCTATTCATATTAGCCCTAGGAACTTTGAAAATTTAAATAAATAAATAAATATTCGATTCTAATACTGAAACAATAATTTCAGTATTTGAATCGAATATATGAATACATTTTATTTCAAATTTATTTTAATTCAAATGCGGAAATTATTTGATTCAAGTAAATATTTATTCGATAATAGTCACGTGATCGTTTATTTGAATCAAAGAAATTTTTTTTCAACTTGTTCTTTGCTCTTTTCTTTTCTAACTTCTATAATAATTTTCCCTTTTTTAAATGTATTCAATTTTAAAATTAATGTATTCAAAATCATTGAATTCTCGCCAAGAATTTTATTAAAATTTATGGAAATAATTGAAGTTCTACGAAGAATTTTATTATTTACATGAAAATAATTGAAATCTAGCGAATAATTCTATTCAATTTCTTGAAAATATTAATTAAATTCTTTTGAAGAATTTCTTTCACTTTTTAGTAAATAATCGAGTTTCTTTAAAAATTTTAATTGAAAATTTTGAAAGTAATTGAATTTTATGAACAATTTCTCTCAAGTTTTCATAATAATCGTGTTTGTTAATAATATTGAAATTAAAGATTTGATTATTGAATTTTATTAATTTTTGAAACTTCAGTCTTATAATAAATTTCTCAATTAAAAATTTGATAAAGTAAAAATTTATTTAAATAAAAAGCCAATCTGAAATAATTTATATTCCTGCATAGAATTTTATTTAAATTTTAAAAATTAAATAAATTATTTCAAATTAATTTCAATAATTTTTTAAATAATCGAATTCTTATTCATCAGAATTTCATTAATATTATTCAAAATAATTGAATTTCTGCAGAGAATTTTATAATTTATGAAAATAATTGAATTTTTTAGATAAATTTTGTTAAAATTGCATTAAAAATAATTGAATTCTTATGAAGAATTTTATCAAAAAATTTGAAAATAATTGAATTCTTATTCGGAATTTTATTAAAATTTTTCAAAATAATTGAATATCTACGAAGAATGTTATTTTTTCGAAAATAATTGAATTTCTTCAAAGAATTTTATTATTTTTGAAAATAATTGAATTCTTTACCAGAATTTCAATATTTTTTTAAATAATCGAATTCTTATTCAGAATTTCATTAATATTATTCAAAATAATTGAATTTCTGCAGAGAATTTTATAATTTATGAAAATAATGGAATTTTTTAGAGAAATTTTGTTAAAATTGCATTAAAAATAATTGAATTCTTATGAAGAATTTCATCAAAAAATTTGAAAATCATTGAATTCTTTCGAAGAATTTTAATATTGTTGAAAATAATTGAATTTCTTCGAAGAATTTTATTATTTTTTAAAATAATTGAATTCTTATTCTGATTTTTATTAAAGTTTTTCAAAATAATTGAATTTTTCCGAAGAATTTTATTATTTAGGAAAATAATTGAATTTCTGAAAAGAATTATATTCTTTATGAATATAATTGAATTTTATGAAGGATTTTTTTCAAGTTTTATAATAATCGTGTTTGTTAATAATTGAAATTAAAGATTCGATTATTGAATTTTATTGAAAATAATTGAACATAGAATATAAAGAAGAAGAAAATAGGAAGAAGAATAAAATATAGTAGAATAAAATAGAAAGAAGAATAAGACATAGTAGAATAAAATAGAAAATTAAAATAAAATAAAATAAAATAGGAAGAAGAATAAAATGGAATAAAATAATTGAGAATAGAACTTGGAAAATGATTTGAAAATCCAATTGGCCTTAATTTTATTGGCAATGAAAGTAAGGGCGCAGAGTTAATATTCTCTAAAACTCATTAGTTCGAATTTTCAATGGATCGGTTAATTATCAATAAATTCCAATTTAATTAATTAATAAATGGAAAAGAATTTACCAAGAGATAAATTTCGAAAAGAAAAATTGTTACTTATAGACAAATTTTTATAATTACAGCTCTAAATTGAATTGCATTTTCATGTGGCAGAATTTTTATGCTTTTAATCGAATTTTTCCCCTTTTTTCACATCAGTGAATTTTTAATTACAACGCAAAATTTTTACTCAAATTAATATTTACATGATTGAATTTTTATTAAAATGGAATCTTCACTCAATTGTAAATTTTAATTTTAAACTTTTTAAATTAACAGAAATTTTCATTAATTAAACTTTTTAATTTAACCGAATTTTCATTAATTAAACTTTTTAATTTAACCAAATTTTCATTAATTTAACTTTTTAATTTAAAAGAATGTTCATTAATTAAATTTTTTGTTCACCAACAATTTTTATTTACTCTCTAAATCTGAATATTAGCAAATATTCCCTGCGAATCTCATAGCGTTACAATTTTTGTGTCGACAAAATTTACGAGATTATTTTTTTCATTAATATTTAAAAAAATCAAACTAAATATCGTTTCATTTAAATGTTGATAAAATTTACACATTATTTTTATTAGTATTTTAAAAATAAAGCTAAATAGAATTTCATTTGAATGAAAGAAAAATTAACTATTTACTTTCATCTTTAAATAATTCTTTCAAGTTAAATATAATTAAAAACTCGATCGAATAAAAATTCTAGTCTCTTATTTTCAATCAAAACATTATTTAACATTATTTAAATCTTTACTCTATTATTTAAGACTGTAAGTTAAAAATATTTTCTGTGGCAAATAACAAAACTGTTGCTTTTTAAATAAAAAAGGGTGAAAGAGAGAAAAAGAGTGAAAGAGAGAAAAGAAGTAAAACAGAGAAAAAGAGAGCGAAAAAGAAAAAGAGAGTAAAGGAGAGAAAAAGAGTGAAACAGGGAAAAATAGTGAAGCAGGAAAAAAGAGCAGAAGAGAGAAAAAGAGAGCGTAAAGGTATCTGTGTATTAAGGAATAATTTAGGGAGTTTTTTATGTAACCGTTCTGTTTACATATTTGCATCAACATTCTCCTGAAGTATGTACATTTGTGATGTTGGGAGTTAGTATGCTATTCATTAAATGTAACAAGAGTCGATAGAGTGGTGCACAGTGGTTAGGGGGGCTGTAGACAATCTCCAAATATTTGCGAGCACAAATATCTTACCTAAACAGCAAAGTGTCACGATGGAAAGCCGTCACTCCCGTTCCAGTTTCTCCAGCGCATCTCGCGAATTGACAATTCTCCAAAATTATAATCGTAAATGAGTCCCGAATCTGAATTTGATGTATATATACGTCCCTCTTCCCCTGCTTCGTTCATATCTGTAAACATTTAAAATTATTTTATTATTCATGTTTCTCTGAATTGTTCTTTTAAAAAAAATTTCATTTCAACAAACTTTCATTTGAGTAAACAGAACTATTCAATTTTTAAATAAAAAAATTTTAATCTCTGTATTTATTCTTTTTGTTCTTTATTTTTTTGATTTTGTATTGTTTTAAGTTTTATAACTAAAATTTAGGACAATGCTAAATAAAAATATTATTTAATTAGTAGAATTATCCAATTGCCACGGAATTCTAGTTCGCCAAATTTTTATTATGTCTGTATTTATTCTTTTAATTCTTAATTAGCAAATAATAATATTATAATAAATTCTAATTTATTGTTTTCAAAAATTTAAATAAAATTCTTCGTGAAAATTCAATTATTTTAATGAATAATAAAATTCATCCGAAAAATTCGATTATTTTTATAAGTTTTAATAAAATTCTTGTCGAGAATTCAAATATTTTTTAAAAATAATAAAATTCTGCACTGGAATTCAATTACTTTTAAACATTTTGATAAAATTCTTTCGAGAAATTCAATTATTTTCACAAATTTTAATACAATTCCGGGCGAGAATTCAATTATTTTCATAAATAATAACATTTTTTGCAGGAATTCAATTATTTTCAAAACAATTTAAATAAGAAAAAGATATAAATTAATTTAAAGATTTTAATAAAATTATTCAAAGAAATTCAATTATTTTCACAAATTTTAAAACAATTCTCTGAAAGAATTTAATATTTTTCAAAAATTTAAATGAAATTCTTCTGAAAAATTATATCAAATTCAAAACTTTTAATAAAATTTTTTTTAAACAATTAAATTATTTTCATAAGTAATAAAATTCTTCAAAATAATTCAATTATTTTCAATACAATTTTAATTTAATTCCTCAAATAAATTTAATTTAAGTCTTTAAACATTTTTTTAAAATTCTTCCAAACAATTAAATTATTTTGAAAAATATTATTAAAATTCTGAATAAGAATTAAATTCTTCTCGTAAATAATAAAGTTCATCTCAGGTATTCAACTATTTTCAAAATTTTTTATAAAAACCTTCGAAACAAATTATCAATTAAATTCCTAAATATAATGAAATGCTTTGCAAGAATTCATTTATTTTAAAAATTTTTAATATAATTCTTTGAAAGAATTCAATTACAATTTTCAATTTTGGTAAAATTCTGTGTAACAATTAAATTATTTTTTATATAATTTTAATTAAATTATGCACTGGAATTCAATTACTTTTAAACATTTTGATAAAATTCTTTCGAGAAATTCAATTATTTTCACAAATTTAAATGAAACTCTAGGCGAGAATTCAATTATTTTCATAATAAATAATAAAATTCTTTGCAGGAATTCAATTATTTTTACAAATTTAGATAAAATTTGTTTATTCTAGAATTTTATTAACTTCAGTACCTACAATTTTAATTAAATTCCTTGAAAGAATTTAATTACTGTAACTTCAAAATTATTAATGCTACAAAAATTATAACATATTTTTAACAAAAATTATCCTTTTCAACGCAAAATTATGTAAAAATTGTCAATTGACCAAAATTTCTTTGCTTGTTTTCCTTTTCCCTTTGTTTCTAGTGTATAAATCGACAGAATACAATTTTGGAAACGAGAAAAAAATTGGAAAAAATAAATATATGTATTTAGAGAAAAAAATTGGTCAAAATAAAAATATTTAGAGAAAATTTCGTAAATTTTGTCTGATATGTAAATAAATGTTGTTTGCCGTCTAGACACGCGTCTTTTTTTTTTTAATCATATTGTGTATGTATATCGTTTTAGTATAAGATCGAAATCAACTTGAATGCTCTTTAACGGGTTTCCCGCTGTGACTATGGGTGTTATAATAATTGTTTGCTACCCAGCGTAGTGCTAGCACGCCCCACCTGGCACCTAGAGTCGCCCCATTCATCTCAGGACCACGAGGAAGCACACAATGTTATACAAGAGATAGAGAGAGATAGAAAGAGGGAGAGAATAAGAGACCCATAACTTTGGTCTATAATTTGTCACGATTAACCAAAAGAGATTACTGGTGCCGTTGACAGCCTTTCTGGCTACCGCGCGTTTTACAAGCCATTCGCGTTCTGCATTACAACCGGATTATCGGTCCCATATTTGAAAATTTATTCTCTTAAATTTATTTTTTACGATTTTGCATCAACAATGAAAGATGATATCGCTTTTCATTCGTGAATAAAAGATGCAACGGAATTTCCCTTTTTTCATATATATATACAATATGTATATAAAAAGATTACATATATATTTTTCAATGAAAAAAACATTTTATCTGAATTCGATTGTGTGACCTGATTTTTGAATCGTATTTTTATTTGACCTAAAAAAATCTTTGGGGAATTGGTTTCTCTAGGTTCATTCTGTCTTTTTAATTGTCTAACATTTAATTGATCCAAATTTGAATTATTATTTGATTTTCATTATAACTTAATTTATTACTGGAGGTATTCCATTCCTTATTATTTTGTAAATTAAAAAATTTTATATTAAATTATTTTCAAAAATTCAGATAAAAAATTCTTTGAAACAATTAAATTATTTTTATAAATTGTAAAATTCTTGGCAAGAATTCAATAATTTTTGTAAATAATAAAATTCTTCTGTGTGAAATTCAATTATTTTCAATACAATAAATTTTAATTAAATTTCTGGGAAAAAATTCAATTATATTCAAGATAATTTTAATAAAACTTTTCTAATACGTTTAATTATTTTAAAAAATGGTAATAAAATGTTTCTAAACAATTCAATTGTTCTCAAAAGTTTTTAATAAAATTCTTTGTAAATTTCAATTGTTTTCAAAATTTTCAATTAAAATTACTTTAAAAAATTACAATATTTTTACGAAATTTAATGAAATTCTTGAAAAAAAAAATGTAATTATTTACAAAAACTCTAATAAAATTGTTTGAAAGAATTTAATTTTCTATGAATAATTTTAATACTATTTAATAGAAAAATTGTTAATTACAAATAATAATAATAAACCCGATTATTTTAAAACTTTGAAAGAAATTCTTCTTAAAATTCAATTGTTTGCAAAATCTTCAGTATAAAAATTATTTTTAAAAAACTTGATTATTTCTAAGAAAATTGAAATAAATTGTTAAAAACAATTCAATTGTTTTAAAGAATTTTAATAAAAATCTCGCCTAGAATTAAAATATTTTCAAAAACAATTTTAATTACATTTTCTCGAAAGAATTCAATTATTTGAAAAAATGTTGATAAAATTCTTGAAATAAATTCAATTATATTCAAATTTTTTTATAAATACTTTACAAGAATTCAATGATTTCCAATAAATCGACAGTTTAATTATTTCTGAAAATAATTGAATTCCTGAATAGAATTTTATTAAAACTTTTTTAAATAATTGAATCTGTGCGAAAAATTTATTATTTCTACAAATAATTGAATTTTTGCAAAATTTTAAAAAACAAGTGAATTTTTAAGAAGAATTTTATTAAAATTGTATTTAAAATAATTGAATTCCTGTGGGAATTTTACTATTTATTGATATTATTGAATTCTTTCGAAGAATTAAAAAATAATTTAATTTTCCCTGGAATTCAATTAAAATTGTTTATTTAAAATAATTTAATTCCTGCGAAAATTTCACTATTTACGAAAATAATTGAATTCTTGAATTGAATTTTATTGAAAGTTTTTTTTAAATAATTGAACTCCGGTGAAAAATTCAATTATTTTTTAAAATAATTGAATTTTCTCGTAGAATTTTTACTCGGATTTTGAAAAATAATTGAAATTTTCGAAGAAATCAATTAAAAATGGAATAAAAAATAAGTGAAATTCTGATAAGAATTTTATTATATTTATATAAAAATAATTGAAATTTTTTACGAAGATTTTTATTATTTATAAATTGACTAAAGAATTTTATTACAATTATTGAAAATAGTAAATTGAATTCTTCTTAAAAATCAATAATTGTTATTTTATACTTATTATTAATGTATTTTTATTATTTTATCTTTATTGTTAACTTATATTTATTATTATTTTATTTTTATTCTTGATCTAATAATATTGTAATAATGTTTATTTAATTCGATCAAATGGAAATTCGATTAATTAAGAGTTCGGTTCAATTAGCTGATTGAAAAATCGTCTAAATGGAAATTCGCTGTTAAATTAAAAATCCGACCAAATGGAAATTGGATCAACTAAAAATTTTGGGGAAATAAAAATCTATCTAATTGAAAATAAGCTCGAATGAAAATGCATTAAATTGAAAATTCCGTTAAGTAGAAAATTCGGTCAAATTAAAAATTAGTCAAATGTTAATCTGTAAAATTTCCAGGCGCTTCCAATGATAATTTACAATTTTCTTAAGGTTTATTATTTAAATAATAATTGTGGCAAAAAAAGAGTCTTTATGTGACACTGTCGAAAATCAAAAAAATTCACGAATCTATTCAATCGCTACGTCGGATCGATTTCTAATTCCAATAGCGGAACGTGAGCCTTTGAGTTTGAAACTCTTGATTTTCATTTGTCCTGCGGGGATTTTTTTTTAAAATCTAAATACAGTTTATAAGATAGGGCAGCGGTACATTTGAACTTTTGGCTCAAAAGTCTTATAGTGTGTATATATATTGAGAAAAAAAAGCGAGGGCTGTTGGCCTCGAGCCACGGATTGGATTGGATCGGCTTAGAGTTGATTTAAGCCAATCAGTAAACAAGCAGTCACCAGCCCCGGATATATGAGTACTGATCTCGTTAGCTCTTGCAAGTTCAATGTTGCGCTTCCATGCTTCTGCTACCGCATGTTTCTCTCTCATTCAATTTTCAAACTCCTAACATTACATTGCATTCTTCCTTGATTTCTCATGCTTCTCCCAAAAAAGCATCAATTCGCTACCGAATTTTAAATTTCATTCATGATTCTCAATCACTTTCTCTCTCTCTCTCTTTCACTCCATTTATCTGCCCTTTCGTCAAACCGCGATCTTTTCATTTCTTCCCAATTTAAAGAGATTTTTGGTTTATAAGGCAAGAAAAGGGAAATGGAAAAAAAAAGATAAAAAAATTTTTTTTTTATTTTTCGGATTAAATTTTTACCTTGATCGAAAGATTCAAGAACTACGATTTCTTGAGAAAGCAAATTTTAATCTCTAACGATTTCTGCACCATATGATTCACAAGTTTTGAACGTTCAAATGAAGGGAATATTTTTCCTTAAAAATATTTTCATAAATTAGTGATTGTGATAAAAATTAAAAATCTAAAAAAAAGTAGCTATCAAAAAATTAAACTTGACGACCAAAAAAACGCGTTTTAGAAACTTCACAAAACTGACGAAAATTCCATTCTATATTTTATTTTCCTAACGAATTTTATTATTCATGGAAGAATTTAAATATCCATAAAAATAATTTAATTTTTGAGAAGAATTTTATAAAAATTTTTAAGTAATTGATTTCTTTCGACTAATTTTTTGCAAATTATAATTTAAATAATTGAATTCCTGAGAATTTTTTTTATGAAAAGAATTGAATTCTTACAAAGATTTTTACAAAAAAATTTTTAAATAATTGAATTCTTGTGATGAATATTGTTATTTATGAAAAAAATAATTGAATTTTACAAAGAATGTTATTAAAATGCCTCAAAATAATTAAATTTTCGGGAATAATTTTTGTTATTTATCGACATAATTGAATACTTTCGAACAATTATTTATGTAAATAATTCAATTCTTGGGAAGAATTTTAAAATAATCTGAAAGAATAATTGAATTATTTAAAAAACATTTTATTAAAATTGTATTTAAAATAATTGATTTCTTTCAAGAAATTTTATTAAAATATTTAAAAGTGTAATTGAATTCCTGTAAACAATTCTAATATTTTTGAAAATAATTGATTTATTCTAAAGAATTGAAATTAAATGTTTAACAGTATAATTACATTTTTTTGAGCAATTCTTGTAAAATTGTATTAATAATAATTGAAATCCTACGATGCATTTTATTATTTATGAAAATAATTGAATAGTTGCAAAGAATTTTATTAAAATTTTCAAAAATAATTGAATTCCTGAGCAGAATTTCATTATTTATGAAAATAATTGAATTATTGCGAACGATTTTTTAGAATTTTTTTAAATAATTGAATTTTTAAGAAAAAATTGATTACTTTTAAAAATGATTGAATTCTTGTAATGAATATTATTATTTATAAAAATAATTGAATTTTGCAAAGAATTTTAGTAAAATGCCTCAAATTAATTGAATTTTTGGAAATAATTTTGTTATTTATCTTTAATAATTGAATTCTTTCGAAGAATTATTAATGTAAATAATTGAATTCTTGTGAAAAATTCTAATTTTTTTGTAAATACATATAATTCAATTCTTCCAAAGAGTTTTAAAAAATCATTTTTTTAAATAATTGATTTTTTCGAAGGATTGAAATTAAATTTTTAAGAATTTTACTTATGTAAAATTGTAACAACAATGATTGAAATCCTGCGATGAATTTTATTCTGTATGAAAATAATTGAATTATTGTAAAGAAGTTTATTAAAATTTTTAAAAATAATTGAAATCCTAAGAAGAATTTTATTATTTATGAAAATAATTGAATTATTGCGAAAAATTTTATTAAAATGTTTTAAAAAAATTCAATTTTTCATAAGAATTTTATAAACATTGTTTTAATTAATTAATATTTTCGAAATATAATGAACATTATGAAAATTTTATTTTAAATAATTAAATTCTCGTGGAAAACTCCAATTGTGAAAGTAATTGAATTTTTCGATTAATTAATTTAAAATAGTATTAAAAAATTATTTAAATTCTTCGATGATGTTTGTTATTTATAAAAATAATTGTATTTTCCCTTAGAATTTTAACAAAAAATTTTTTTTTTTAAATTGAACTTCCATGAAAAATGGTATTATTAGTGAAAGTATTTGAATTATTGTAAAGAATTGTATAAAAATTTGGTTAAATAATTGCATTTTTCGAAATTTTTTTGAAAATGGTATTCTAAATTAATTGAATTCCTGTGTAAATTTTATTATTTATGAAAATAATTGAATTTAGGATGAATTTTATCAATTTTTTAAAAATAATTGAATTCTTTTTCTAAATTTTATGAAAATATTAGATATTGAAAATAATTGAAATTCGAATATTGTTTGAAAATAATTGAATCGTTTTAAAGAATTTGGTTATAATTTTAGAGAATAGTTTTTTGATTTCTAGTATTTCTAGTATGAGTGCGAAGCCTGATTTTGTTTATTTGAACGTTCAAAACTCTAGGAACATCTTTAAAATAAATTCCACCATTTCGAATAAAAATGATAAAAAGAAAATTTTCCCGACAAGTTAAAAAATACCCGAGTAATATGTATATACAAATTTCTAGTCCTAGATTGATGTTGACAGAATAATTCATTCGTTTGTCATTTCCAAAACGCCCTAATAATATGATATCCATTAGAACTTACAAGAGTCGACAACAAAATTGTTCGATTGAAGAATGACAGGGGCGGTGTAGTTTGAATATACTGCCATTTCCTGGGGGTGTTTCGTGAGGCAGTCATCGATTGCGTCGTCCCGTGAGGGAAAGTAGCCGTCTCCCACGATGCGAAGTTTTGCCCCAATTCTGAGAGAGGATACCTTGCACTGCTTCCACCTTTTGGTTGCAAATTTGCAAAAATACTAAAATCAAATTTTGACAGATAAATTTATGGAATTTTTTTGTAAAGTGTCAAGAAGGAAATAAAAGAAACATGAAAAACTTACTTTTTTCTTGATTGGTTCTTTTTATGCCTGTTTTTAAGGGTGTTGATTCTTTTTCAGGTTGGGGAAGAAGGGACAGGTCACTTTCCCTCACGAAGCAGAATTGATGATTGTCCGTTTAGTCCTTTCATCCACCTTACACAGAAATCCAAATGTGCCGACAAATTAACCGTGAACAATGATTTAAGGACCTTGCTTTCCTGAAAAGAGATAAAAAAAAATCACATAATTAAATTTTTTTAAAGCAAAAAAATACTTAAATGAATCGAATAATCGGTTTGATTATTATTTATTGAAAAATTTGTTTTTTCTATTAATTTTTTATTATTTAAAAAATATTTAATAAAATTGTACGCAAACATTTAATTATTTTCATAAATAATAAAAGTTTCACTGGAATTCAATTATTTACAAATTTTTTATAAATTTCTTCGCAATAATTCCATTATTTTCATAAATAATAAAATTTTCTTTAAGGAATTGAATTATTTTCATAAAAAAAACTTTTCTCTACATTTAAATTTCTATTAAACAAATTAACTAAGCAAAAAAAAAAAAAAAAATTCTGCGCGAATTTGAATTGGAAAAAAAGTGTCACAAGCAACCTGCTCGATAAGATCGTGTGAAATTTTTTTTTCGCGTCATAAACTTGTTGCAACATTTCCCACACTCAATCATTTGATGAATATAGTGTGAAAACGCCTCCCGAATTACACACCCCCAAAAAAAAGAAAATCACTTGTACACGTCATTAAAAGCAATTTTCCTCTTGTAATCTATCTACCTTGCGGAAAGAGGCGAAGGAGAAGGAAAAAAATAGAAAAAATATAATAAAAAAAAATATAGAAAACGAATCATTGAAAGCAATGTGTTCCGAAACCATATTCAAGGTATGTCAAAAGAAATTTAAGAAAAGGTACAACACGAATTTCATGGCAATTGAGCTCCGCCTATTGTCAAATACAATATGTGACCCACACATCCGGACAATTTTTTGACTTTCCTTACTATATAGTATATATATATATATTTTTTTTTATAAAAAGAAACATTTTCTTGGTCATTTCATTGCTTCCGCCGGCATCTTACATAAATCTATATGGCAAATTCATTCTCAACTATTTCTCATCATCTTTACAAAGGAAAGTCAAAAACGGAAGATGATCACTTCCTTCGTTATAAAGAATATATAATAAATAGTTATTGGAAATTTTACAGTTTTCCTTTATATGGATTATAAATGTGGGAAAAGGAAAATTAACTCCCGCCAATAATTCGAGTGCAATATTGTAATAAAAAACGTAGAAGGCAAATCAAATATTTTTTTTGACTTCGTTTTTGGAACAATAACTTTAAATAACTAATTAAAAAAATTTTAAAATATACAAATAATAAAAAAAAGTAGGAAAAGAAAAGAATTTAAATTATTAAAATAATTTATTTGTTTATCAACATACATCCCCGCATAATTATATTTAAATAAAAATTCGAATAAAAATTTAAATAAAATGTAAAAAACATCAAAAAAGAGCCAAGAAAATAAAGTCAGAATTTATTTTACAATTTTATAAAGGAATAAAAAACTAAATAAAATAGTAAATAGTAAAAATAATAAAAAAAAATAATAAAGAACCAAATTCTGCGACAAATTCACATATAAAATAAATAGAGAATAAAAATCAAAACATTGATAAAACTATAAGTCAAAAAATACCGAATGGAAAAATCACCAAAAAATAGTATCCAAATAAGAAACAATAAGAATAATAAATAACAGCAGTAAAAATCAAATAAATCGAAAATAGAAAATAAAAAAGTTATGACTAAAAAAATAAAAAATAAATAAATAAAGTGAAAAATATATTAATTGAATAAATTACAAATAATTTTGTCAAAAAATTTGAGAATAATTGAGTTCCATCGAAGAATTTAATTATTTAGGAAAATAATTGAATTCTCGTGAATAATTTTGTTAAAATTTTTGAAAATTCTAATTAAATTCATTTTGAAGAATTTCTTTAAATTTTTTTTAAATAATCAAATTTCTTTAATAATTATAATTAAAAATTTTGAAAAATTGAATTTTATGATCAAATTTTTTCAACTTTTTAAAATAATCGTGTTTTTTAATAATTGAAATTGAACATTTAATTATTGAATTTTATTAAAATTTAAGAAAAAAATTGAATTTTTTTGAAAAATTTTATAACGAATTATAGAAAAATATAACGAATTTAAGAAAAAATTAAATTAATTTGTAAAATTTTTTAGAAAATAATTGAATTTTTGCAAACATTTTACTATTTAAAAAAAATAATTGAATTGTTTCGAAGGATTTGTTAAAATTTTAGAAAATAATTGTATTCGTTTGTGAAATTTTATCAAAATTTAGTTGAAAAATAATTGTATTTTTGCAAAAAATTCCTTAGTTATAAAAAGAATTGAATTCTTACGAAGAATGTTATTATTTATGAAAATAATTGAATTCCTGAGAAGAATTATATTAAAAAATTTTGAAAATAATTAACAAGAATAATTAATTAGTGAACTAGTTAATAATTGAATTTTTAAAAATTTTGAATCTGAAATTATTCAAAAATTCATATTTGAAAATAAAAAATTTTGTAATTTGCATAATAATAATAGTAAATTGAATATCACGTTAAATTAAATTATTTTAAAGAATAGTAAATAATAATTTTATAAATTTGCAAATATTTACAAAATAATAAATATTTAACAAATTTGCTTTCTAGTTTTTACAATTGTCCAATTTTTTCCCATTAACAAGAAATTAGATTTATTAGTAGAATTAATTTCCCCTTATTTATTGAATTCAAAACAAACAGTTCTAAACCTCTGACAAATTTCGAGAACAAAATCACAATTTACAAATTATCCTGAATTGAATTTTTCAATTGTCCTGTAGAGTGAAGAGTGAAAAAAAGCCAAACATTCCATTATGTAAAAGACAAATTTTAAAGAAAGCACACGACAATATTTGTAGTTTCTTTCTTAAAATTTGAAAGCAATTCTATTTCGATTTTTGAAGATGCAAAAAAAAAAAAAATTGAAGATACACGTGGCTCGTGTCAACAAAAGAAAAGAAGAAAATTGCAACAATTACCATTGACTAGAAAACACCATCGACAATATATTAACAATGAATTTATTTTATGTCTACATGTGTAAATGTAAACGAAAGATTGTGGGTATTTCTTTAAATTTACTCCTAAAATCATGAATAGGATCACACCAGGAGACCACCAGTATGTCTAGGGTTTGTAATCCTCAAGGAACTAAGGACTAAAGCCACAAAATACCTTGAGACCTTTACGAGAGATAAATTTAACGTCAACTATTCCACCGGGGGTCCATTCACGCCACACAAGCGTGCCGAACCATCTTTTGAATATAAATTTCCCTAAAAAAGAGCCGTGCAGATGACTTTTTTTCTCTTTTTCTTCTTTTTTTTTTCTTTTTCGTGAAAAGAGTTCACTGCTGACAAAGTCCATCCATATATTAATTCTTTCTCACTTTTATAAGATAATGTGTATGTGTGTGACTCCTCACTAAAAATATTATATACTTTCTTCACTTTTTTTCCTTCTTCTTCTTTCTATTCAATTTTAAATTTTTATTATTCAGTTATATATTGAATTTTAATAATTTTAATAAAATTATAAAAAGGTTGGAATTTGTTTTATATTTATAGAATTTTTAATATCGTCACATTAAATTTGATAAAGAACTATTATTATTGATAATGACGTTCATTACCATTTTCCATACAGGTGCATTTTGGATGTTTCTTTTAAAAATCATTTTTTTTTCTTCATTCAATTCAAAGATATGTAAATAAGTCAGCTTTCGATTAATTAAAATTGTTCGAAATTCTATCAACTGGAATTTTACTCATATAAAATTTTTTCCAATATTTATTAATTTTAATTTAATTGTTTCAAAAAATGTTCATAAAATTCTTCCAAATAAATCAAATAATTTAAAAATAATAATGAAATAGATAATTATAAAATTTATGGAAAATTTAAATTATTTTCGTAAATAAGAAAATTCTTGTGAAGATTTCGATTATTTTAAATAATTTTTATGAAATTTCTTGCAAGAATTAAATTTTGATAAATATTAAAGTTCTTTGAAGAAAATCAATTCTTTTAAAAAATTTCAATAAATTTCTTCGAAAGACTTCAATTACCTTTCTAAAATTTAATTAAAATTTTTATAACAATTCAATTATTTCTAATAATGTTTTATGTAATTAAATTCCTGGAGGAAAATTTAATTATTTTTATAAATTTTAAGAATAATCTAAGAAACAATTTAATTATTTCACAAAAATTTTGATAAAATTCTTTGAAAGAATTCAATTATTTGAATAAAATTTTTATTAAATTCATCGAAATAATTTAATTATTTAAAAATGTTTTAAATTCTTCTCAGGAGTTTAATTATTTTCACAAATTATTATTAAAATTCTACACAGAAGTTCAATTATTTTTCAATAAAATTGTATTAAATATTTAAATGAATTTCAGTGAAAAAATTTATTATTCAAAAAAATAATTAAATTCTTGAACAGAATTTTATTATTTATCAAAATAATTGAATTCGCAAGAGAAGATTTTTTTTTATTCATGAAAATAATTGAATTCTAGAGAAGGTTTTTTTTAATCATAAAAATAATTGAATTTTAGAGAAGATTTTTTTTATTCATGAAAATAATTGAATTTGAGAAACTTTATTAAAATTGTATTGAATGTAATTGAATTCCTGTGAAAAATTTTATTTGTCATAAAAATAATTCAATTCTTGTACAGAATTCTATTATTTATGGAAATTTTTAATTGAATTCTTGTGAAGATTTTTTTTATTTATGAAAATAATTTTTAACTTGAGAAGATTTTTATTACAATTTTTGAAAATAATTAAATTCTAACGACGAATTTAATTAAAATTTCAAAAAAAGTTAATTTAAGAAAACAATTGAATTTTTGTACAGAATTTTATACAAATTTTTGAAAATTACTGGATTTTTTGTTAATATTTTATTAAATTTTATTAATATAATCAAATCCTTTAGAGAAATTTTATTGAAATTTCAGTGAAAAATTTTATTAATTATAAAAATAATTGAATTCTTGCACAACATTTTTATTATTGATGATAATTATTGAATTCTTGTGAAAATCTTTGAAAATAATCCAATTCCGTTGAGGAATTAAATTTAGAATTTTATCAATATTTTTGAAAAAATTTGAATTTATTGAGAAATTTTATTAATATTGGATTGTAAATAATTGAATTCTTGAGAAGATTTTTATTATAATTTTTGAAAATAATTGAATCTGCGGAGATTTTTATTAAAACTTTTTAAAATAATTAAATTCCATCGAGGAGAATTCAATTAAAATTGTATTCAAGTAATTGAATTCTTGTAAAGAATTTTATCAATATTTTTGAAAGTAATTGAATTATTTGATAAATTTTATAAAAATTGTATTGAATACATTTGTATTTGAATTTCTGTGAAGAATTTTATTATTTATATAAACATAATTAAATTTCTGCGAAGAATTTTTTTATTTCGGAAAACAATTCAATATTGTTTCGAGGAATGTAAATAAAATTGTATTCCAAAATAATTGAATTCTTATAAAGATAATTTTATCCAAATTTCTTTTAAAATCATTGAGTTATTTCCTAGTTTTTTACTAAATTTGTTTCAAATAATCGACTCCTTTAGGAAAAACCCCCTGACCTATTCCACAAATTATATGTAAAATCTACTGAATCATCATGACTTTTTAATTCTCAATTTTCTGTAAAGACATCATATTACAATGTTTGATCAAAACAAAGTGAAACGTAACAAAAAAAGGCAAATTTCACTTTTTTCCCATTCTTTTTTCGACAAAAATGACGCGTGTCATCGTTATGACATTATGACGAGTTCGCAAACGTTATATGGCAACATTTTAAACTGGTAAACATGCATAGAAAATGGTAACAAAGGGCGTGACCTAGGCGGAACACATGTCCAAACATTAAGCACAATGTCCTATACCGGTCAGAATATTATTATTCCCCTATTTATAGGTCTATATGTATATATAAATGCGAGGGTAGATGAGGCAATGGCAAAATGTTTGCAATGCATTACACGGGCATTCACAGCTTGTGAAATGCCTTTAGTGTGTAAACGCCTGTAAATGCCAATGCAATGACCAAGAAATGCGAGACCTCTCACACTATCCTCGCTCTCCTAAATTCAAAATACAAAACGAAAAACTCAATAATACGTATTCAATATAATATAATATAATATAATATATATACGAAAAATGTATATATCTTTCCTTTGGAATTTTCTATTCGCATTACGGAAGAAATAAATTTATGGAGAAACATCGAAAATAATCAAAAACCAGGGTTGACAAAAAATTTAATTTTGTTTTTCCCTGCTATTTCCCTTATTTCCAGACAAATTTTCTACTTTTCCCCTGACACTAAAGAATATTCTGCGATTCACTCTAGAAATTATTAGATACTTAAAAAAATGTTCTATTACATTTATTTATAAATTTCTTCAAAAGTAAAATTATTCCAAAACATCAATAACTTCATTTTTAAATAAATATTTAATCATTATTATTTTTCCATAGGATTTAGGATTTTCAATAATTTCAAACCTTAAACCTTTCTGAAATTCAACAACTTGTAATAATTAATTTAAACCTTTTTAAAATTCAACAACTTGTAATAATTTAATTTAAACCTTTTTGAAATACAACAACTTGTAATAATTAATTTAAACCTTTTTGAAATTCAACAACTTGTAATAATTAATTTAAACCTTTTTGAAATTCAACAATTTATAATAATTAAAAAAGACCGAGTGATAAAATAATTATTTTATATTATAAGAATACTGTTACTGTAACTCCAGAATTCTTTTCATCATTTTAATTCAATTATTATTTTTTTTCTAGAATTTTCAACTAAAATTTTTCTTTAAATCAATTATTTTTAATAATTTTTGAAAAAGTTCTTCTGTAAAAATTTTTAAATCCATTTGTTTACAATTTCAATTTCACATGAAATTTTAATTATTCAGAAATTATTCAATTAAATACATTAGAAAATAAAAAGTTAAAATAATTTTTAAAAAATTAATTCTACAGAATTATCAGTTAAAAGTATGAAAAATTTTGATTTTCAAAGATTTTAATTCGAAATCTTTTCAAAATTCAATTATTTATAAAAATTCACGCAATAATGCTTTTAATATTTAATTATAATCTAAAATTTTAACTGAAATATATTTTTAAATCAATTTTTATTATAGAATTCTACAAGAATTTAATTATTTAAATAGAAAAATAAATAATGTACTAAATAATTGGTAATATTTCTTTAAATAATTAACTTAAATTCTCATAAGAATTTTATCAGCAAATTTTCAAATAATTAAATTCTTTTGACGAATTTTAATAAAATTTTTTAAAATAATTACATTTTTCTAGAAATTTGTTTAAAATTGCATTAAAAATAATTGGAATTCTGCGATGAGTTTTATTATTTAACTAGCAAATTTTGTAAATAATGAATGATAAAATTCTTTAGAGCAATTCAATTATTTTCAATACAATTTTAATAAAGTTTCTCGAAAGAGTACAATTATTCTAAAAAATATTAATTAAATTCGATTATTTTCAAGAATTTTAATACAAATTCAATTATTTCCAACAATTTTAATGAAATTCTTTTAAAAAAAACATTATTTTCAAATTTTCTAATAAAATTCATTCAAAAAATTCAATTATTTTCAAAAACTCCGAAAAAATTCTTCAAAACAATTCAATTATTTTTATGAATTGTAAAATTTTCAGCAGGAATTCATTTATTTTCGCATGAATAAGAAAATTCTTTACAAGAATTAAAATATTTTCATAAATAAAAAAATTCAACACAGGAATTCAATTATTTTCATAAATAATAAAATTCTTGACGGGAATTCAATTATTTTTAATACAATTGTAATAAATTTTCTCGAAAGAATACAATTACTGAAATATGTTGATAAAATTCAGTACATTGTACGAAAGGGCAATATAAGCCCGTTTATATACTAAATAAATAAATACTAAATAAATAAAATTCTTAAAATGATGAGTTCAATTATTTTTCAAATTTTTTTATAAATACTTTACAAGAATTCAATGATTTTCAGTACAACGACAATTTAATTATTTCTGAAAATATTTGAATTCTTAAATAGAATTTTATTTAAACTTTTTTAAATAATTGAATCCCTGCAAAAAAATGTAGATTATATCTATATAAATAATTAAATTTTTGCAAAATTAAAAAAAATAATTGAATTTTTCGAGAAGAATTGATATAATTGAATTTTTTCGAAGAATTTAAAAAAAAATGTTTCAAAATAATTTAATTTTTCCTAGAATTAAATTGAAATTGTATTTAAAATAATTGAATTCCAGCGAAAATTTAATTACATATTTTTAAAAATAATGGAATTCTTGAATTGGATTTTATTAAAAATTTTTAAATAATTAAACTCCTGTCAGCACTGAAAAATGGTTATTACACGGAGAAAAATAAAGAGTAAGTTTTACTATTTACAAAGTAAAACCAAAATCGTTGGGAACTTCGCATTTCTGTCAACTTTTAGTATTTTTAAAGTGAATTTTGCTACGCTCGAACTAATTTTTACAAAAATGTACTTCGATCATAGCAACTTTTACTCCAAAAATAGTAAAAATTGCCAAAAATGCGCAAAAGTTTCTGTCAGTGTAACTCTTGGAAAACGAACTTAGTTCGTTTTTCCATGTGAAAAAATCGCTGAAAAGAAAATTCCGTCAAATGAAATTCGATGAAATGAAAATTATTTCTAATGAATTTTATAATGCGTCCCAAATTTTTTCCTTGATAGAAATTTAAATTAACGAAAGTCCTGCGTAAATGGAGAAATAATTAATTAATAACCGAATTAATGACTAAAGTAATAGAAATAATGCTTCATTTAGAATTTTCGCTTCTGGGAAGAACAAAGAATATCTAACTGATGATGTATCTATTACAACATTGAATTGAAGCCAAGAGTTCTTCTTTTTTTTTTTTACAAAACTTTCTTCTCCTATAGGTATATTATACACGTTTCGTTATTCCCTTCTCTCTCTGATCACCTTTCACAGTCATTTCTCTCCTTCGTTACCTTGTACCAACGATGAATGTTATGTGGGTCGTTTCGTCTCATCTCGTTCCGTTCTGTTCCGTCCCGTTCCAGGCCGAGCGAGAGTCCCGACTTGCGTCAATATTTGACTCAAACACGTTAAAACAATACCCGGTCCCGTACATAGCCAAGAGTCGTTTCAATGAGCTTCTCGGAATTTTATCTCGCGTCAGAAAATGCCTAACGACTTCACGCTCGCAGGAAATTCGAATGGTGCGCGGGACGGGAGGGATTTGTACTCTCAATATATATATACATATACATACCTCTTCTTTTTCATCTATTATCTTCTTTTTTTTCTCTTTTTTTTCAAACTTGAAAACTTGTGTAAAATCTCCTTTTTCGTGCGTATAGATTGACATTTCTCCGTTTGTTTCTTTCAGCGTACGTAAAAATTTCACTGCGATAATTTCTCTGAATGAAGCATCTGATGATATTTTTTCACTTGAGATTTTTTTTTTCAAAAAGGGGATTTGTAATGACAAACAGGCGGCGATGTTCTCGATGACGACATTATCTAAAGATTCTCTACATTCTGCGTCTAAAATTCATCCTTCACTATCAAAGAGGCAGGCGTAGTTTTTCAGAGCTGAAAACAAACAAATTTTATTAAAATCAAGTAACAGTGTCAAGTTTTTTTTCTAAATAATAATAAATTGAATATCAAATAACGAAACACAAAAAAAATTGATAGAAAAAAATGTCTCCAATTTTCAAAGTCGAGAGAAAGTATTAAGTATAATTTCCCTCCAAGAAAAAAAAAAGTAAAAGTCAGGAACATAATTGAAAAATCGCATCCCTTTTCTCGATATTCAAGAAAGGGGATGAAAAGCGCGGAGATCTTTGGATTCGTAAACCGCTTTGAGTCTCATAAAATCTCATAACCTCCGGGGCTAAATTCTGGAAGGGTCTACTTGGCAAAAATCCCCCTGTCGGAGAACATTCAATGGAGTTTGTTTGTTTTCGGGATCGTTCTCCTCATCCCTTGTGATGCACGCTTTTCCATATAAAACATATATAGAGTAGCATATATTGTACTCTGGAAATTTTTTTTAAAATTATATTCACACTGTAGATTTGTATATTTTTTTCTATCTGACAGTATAGTTGTATATTTTAATATCCATCACCTTCGTCTTTTCTATCATTTTCTTTTTTCATCATCTTTTTTCCAACTTTATCATCATCAGCAGCAGCATCATCTTTTTTCTTCATCACAGGGAAATTATTATTATTATTTATTATTATTCAATTATTAAATTATTGAATTATTATAATTCAATTATTTATAATACAATTTTAATAACATTTCATGAAAGAATTCAATTTTAACAAACATGCTATTATTCAAAAAATGATTTATTTTTCCATATAGAATACGGCATGAAAGTCCTGGAACTACGAACGTAGCTTATGTTTCAAAATTAGTTTCAAAAATTACACATTCAAACTGGAGCCGCCGCCGCCGCGAGAAATAAAATTTCCTGCTTTTCATCAACTTTTCAATACTTAACAAACTCCACAATTTTTAAATCAAAATTTTCCAATTTTCAATTCAACACTATTTTTTCCAATGATTTAACACTCGTTAAAAACAGTAAAAAGTAGCTTTATAAGCCTGAAAACAAATAAAAAAAAGTATTCATAATCGTATTTTTGAAGAATTCTAATTACAAATTTGGAAAATAATTGGATTTAAAAAAAATTCAGAACAAACTTATTACCAGGAGTGTTACAGTGCGGTATTCAAAAGTTCAAAATTATTTTCATCATTTTAATTTAATTATTATTTTCTAGAATTTTTAACTCAAATTCTTCTTTAAATCAATTATTATTAATAATTTTTGAAAAAGTTCTTTGAGAATTTTTAAATCCATTTGTTTACAATTGAATATGTATTAAAAAATAAACATTTCAAATAATTTCAGAAAAAAATTCAACTAAACTTTTTCAAAATAATTAATTCTACAGAATTGTTGGTTATAAGTATGAAAGATTAAGATTTTCAAAGAATTTAATTTGAAACCTTTTTAAAATTCAATTATTTCTTAAAATTCATGTTGTAATGCTTTGAATATTTAAATGTTATTTGAATAATTTGAATAATAAATATTCAAATCTAAAATTTTTAACTGAAATTCATTTCTAAATCAATTTTTATTAGAAAATTCTACTGGAATTCAATTATTTAAATACAAACAAAACAATTTATTGAATAATTACTTGTTTCTTAAAATTGAATTCTCATAAAGAATTTTATAAATAATTTTTTAAATAATTGAATTCTTTTGACGAATTTTAATAAAGTTTTTAAAAATAATTACATTTTTCGAGGAACTCTTTGAAAATTCAATTAATTTTAAACTACATGAGTAAAATTATATAGTAAAATTATTATTTTACAAAATATATCAAAATATAATAGCAAATTCTCAAAAAAGAAAGAAACAAAGCAGCTTTTCGTTGGCACAAATCTAAAAAAGGAGCTAAATAGCAGCAAATCGTTTAAAAAGAAGTAATAAAGGTTTTAGTGGATAAGTGCGAAGTTTGAAATAACAATATTTTGAAAATCTTCCCTTCAATCGCGCGCATAATGAAAGCAATAACAAACTGGATTTATTTAAATAGAAATGTTTTTCAGATTTCCTAAATATATTTACATATATGGAGAGAGAGAGATTGAGGGATCGAGGGAGTGAGAAAGAGACTTAATCCATTAAAGGCAAACTCGAATTTTGTTGAAGCCTCGGCTTTTGAGTCGTTTCCTCTTTTTTTAAAGCCGTGCTCTTGATTGGTTACGTCGAATTGACAAGTACTTGGTTGCTGGGCTCGTCCAAACATTTCGGACAGCCTAAGGAAACACATTTGCCTGTGGGCAAACACACGAGGCGTCTTACCAGACTCGAAGTAAAGTGGAACACCGAATGCGTCTGGGACTGTTTGCATTGCAGGACAATATATTCCGAGTCTTTTGAAGACGAGCCGAGGAAACGTGAATTACTTCTCCCACTCTTCAGAAACCGTCTCTCTTTCTCCTCTATCTATACACACACATGCCATCATTTTATTCCTCTAACAATGTTCTGCACGAGTTCTTTCCAAAGGACACAAAACTGTTGAAAAAAACGACGAAGCTGATGACGATGATGAAAAAAGAAGAAGGCGATGATGATGATGATGACAGAGCTCGAACTAGGTCCGTAAATTTGCTTCAAGTCTGTAAAAGACAGTTTTTTTTAAAAAAAAGGTCCGTAAAGTCCGTAATTTGATTGAGAAAAGACGAAAAGTTCGTAAATTGTACGATATAATTTGGAGAATTTTAGAGAAATTACAAATGATTGCAGAAATTTAATTATTTTCAAAAGTAATAAAATTCTACGCAGAAATTCAATTATGTTCAAAAATTTATTCAAATTCTCGTAAAAATTTTAATTATATTTAGAAATATAATTAAATTCTTCTTCGAAATTCAATTATTTTCAAAAATTTTAATAAAATTCTTGGCAAAATATCAATTACTTTCAAAAATTTTCCTCAATTCAATGATTTTCAAATATCTACTATATTTTAATAAAATTTTCCAAAAGAATTCAATTATTTAAAAAAAATGTAATAAAATTCTTCTCAAGATTTCAATTATTTAAAAAAAATGTAGTAAAATTCGTTGCAAGAATTCAATATTGTTTTCCTAAACATTAAATTTCTTCATAGGATTTCAATTATTTTTAAAAAATGTAATAAAAGTTGGTTGCAAGTCTTCAATTATTTTCCTAAATAATAAAATTCTTCTCAGGATTCAATTATTTTTAATACAATAAGTAAATTCTTCGAAAAATATAATTAATTTAAAAAATTTTATTAAAATTCTACGAACGAAATAAATGAACAATTGTTAATTATTTTAAATTTTCTATCTAAAATTCATTTTTTAAACAATTTGTATTAGAAAATTCTATGAGAATTCAATTATTTAAATATATAAAAATAAAAAAATACATTATAATAATCGTAAGTTTCCTTTCCGTTAGCAAATTATCTGCATTCATTTGTTTGTTTTGAAAATTAAATTTTGTGGGTTAAGTATTGGCATTTTTTTATATATTTTTTAATGTCAAACTTTTTAATGTGGAAAATACTTTACTTATTAAATTGTCTCGACTCTTTGGTAAAAAATGTAAAATTATCGAAAATTATCAAAAATTCAAACATCCGAATTTCTTAAAATTCAACATTTTTTCCTCTCTTTTATGGAATTTAGCTTCATTATTTTTGTGCTTTTGGAAAATACTTTACTTATTAAATTGTCTCGACTCATTGGTAAAAAATCTAAAATTATCAAAAATTCGAAAAAATTCAAAAATCCGAATTTCTAAAAATTCAACATTTTTTCCTCTCTTTTATAGGATTTAGCTTCATTATTTTTGTGCTTTTGGAAAATACTTTACTTCTTAAAATCGATTATTTTTAATAATTTTCGAAAAAGTTCTTTGACAATTTTCAAATCCATTTCTTTACAATATTCAATCTTACGAAATTTCAATTATTTTTAAATTCTTCAATTAAATATGTATTAAAAAATAAAAACTTCAAATAATATAAAAAAAATCCGCAATTAAAATTTCTCAAAAAAATTAATTCCACAGAATTGTTAGTTAAAAATATGAAAAATTCAAATTTTCAAAGATTTGAATCTGAAACCTTTTCAAAATTTAATTATTTTTAAATCAATTTTTATCAGAAAATTCTACGAGAATTTCATTATTTAAATACAAAAAAAACAATTTATTGAATAATTACATATGTTTCTTAAAATTGAATTCTTTTAAAGAATTGTATCAATCAGTTTTCAAATAATTTGAATTCTTTTGCAAAATTTTATTAAAATAGTAGATATTAAAAATAATTAAATTAGGGAAAATTTTTGAAAATAATTAAAATTTTGCCAAGAAATTTATTAAATGTTTTAAAAATAATTCAATTTTAGAGAAGAATTTTATTATTTATAAAGATAATTAATAATTTACGCAAAGAATTGCATTAAAAATTCTGAATGCAATAATATTATTCTTTAAAGAAATTTAATTAAAAATTTATTAAAAATAATATTTAAATTGTAATAAATAAATTGTAGCAAAGGTTATTAAAATAATTAAATTTCTTTGATAAATTTTAATAAAATTTTTAAGAATAATTACATCTTTCGAGGAATTCGATTAAAATTGTATTAAAAATAATTGAAATTCTGCAATTAGCTTTATTATTTATTAAAATAATTGAATTCCTAATAAGAATTTTATTATTTGCCAAAAAAATTAAATACCTGTAAAAATTTTATTATTTATGAAAATAATTGAATATTGCGAAGAAATTTATAAAAAAAATTTGTAAATAATGAAATTCCTGTAAAATTTTTATTATTTTTTGAAACTAATTAAAGGTTTGTGTAGAATTTTAGTAGATTTTTTTTAAATAATTGAATTCTTTTGGAAAATTTTATTAGAATAGTATAGATACCTATTAAAAATCATTGAATTGAGGAAAAATTTTGAAAATAATTGAAATTTTTCTAAGAATTTTATTAAAATTTTT